GGGTTGACTTCAGCATTGAATAATTGACCCATAATGTTGAAGATTTCATCTTTAAACAAAGTCTAGGAAGTATGCCATTACAACATTTTCTGAGAAAGAACTCGTATTTTTACTCATGCGATAATCCATAAAACGTCTGTATGCATTTTCGTACTTTTCTCTTGATTTCTTTGGCAATAATTCTAATGAAGCAGTATTCACTGCCTCAACCAGCTCTGAAGGAGTCCCAGGAATGGAAATTTTATCATCACTTATCATTTTACTTTCGAGAACACCAGCAATTAAATTTATAAGCATCAAGTTTGACAATTCAACCTCAATACGTTTCCATAGTAACCCAAGTAATTTTATTAGGAATTTCAAAGCACCATTTATTTGGGAATAAAATTATCGCGTTTTTTTTTAAATCAATCAATATCTGTCGAATTTTAAACGATTTGCGGAAAAATAGTATGTTTACCTCGTAGGAAAAGCCACATTCCTGGACTCTGTGTTGCTAAGTCTCGGCTTGCGCCTCGACTTAGCAATCTTCACAGTCATCCAGGAATGTTAAGCTTTTCCTACCCGGTAAACAATGTACTATTTGTGGAAATGTTGAAAACAAAAGTTTTTAGTATTTTATTGCTTGATTATTTGTTTTTTTTTTTATTTTTTTATTTTTTATGTCCCGAACTTAAATAATAAAATATTATTTTTTGCAAAAATTATTCTTTATTGTTTAAAATAATCTCTTTAGTGGCGATATAATCATTCCAATGCTTTTCTAATTTTTCGCTGCCGCCCTTGTACAAGGATTTATCTTTGCCTTCAAAATAGGTTTTAGTTTCGACGATAACCTCCCATCGTAACAATATCTCTTGCCACAGAGCATTTTTTAGATCGGAAAAAAGATGGTAATAGCTGGGGGCCAGATCTGGACTACACGGTGTGTGTGGAAGCAATTTAAAGTCCAATTCGTTCGTTTTTGTCATTGTTTTCATTGACTTGTGACACGGAGCATTGTCTTGGTAAAACAAATGAGGCCTTTTCATTGCGATTTCGGTCTTCAAATGTTCCAATAAACCAATATAGTAGTCGCTGTTAATAATTTCTCCATATTTTAAATAGTCAATGAAAATAATTCCTTGCGGGTACCAAAATACAGAGGCCTTTCCGGTGGTTTGTTGCGTCTTTGGTCGCTTTGGACGGCTTTTCTACGGGAGCTGTCCATTTAGATCACTGCCGACTTCCGGAGTAAAGTGATCGATCCATGTTTCATCCATTGTGAAATACCGTCGCAAAAATTTCAATTTATTTCAATTAAGTATGTCCAAACACTGACGAGAATCATCAATTCGTTGATGTTTTTGCACTGGTATGAGAAAATGCGACACCCATTTGGAAAACAGCTTTCTCATACTCAAATGTTAATGTATAATATTCAAAGAAATGCTACCCGTTGATAACTTTAGTGTCAAATATAACTTGCAATTTCACTTTGTTTTCCATAATAATTTTTATTATTTTTTCGATGTTTTCGGGAATAACTGCATTATTTGGCCTTCCGGAGAACAACATGGGTGTCGGCACGACCGCGTTTGAATTCAGAAAACCATCGTTTGATGGTTGTCGTCGATGGGGTAAAGTTCCGGTAATTCTTTTTGAGCCATTGGTTAGTTTGGAGGGTGTTTTTTTTTTTATCAAATAACAGTGATAAATCAACACACAAAATTGCTTTAAATCCAGTGTTTATAAAAATCACAAAAGTAGGGTCGCTTCAAACACTGTAAATAATAACTCTTAAGTGTAAGTAAACGCGATAAATAATAATCCGAATAACCTGAACTTTTTGACAGTATGTTTTTGAAGGTTAGGACTAGCGAAATGTTAAACATATAATTCTTTAGATTCGCCATCTCATGGTTAGGCCCGGGACTTATTGACCGATGTATTACAATGTTACTAAAATAATACTAGACTGCAAAATAATCGTCTCAAAATTATTTTGCGAAAATACGTCTCATGTTTCAATCTAAAAAGTGTAAATTTAAAAATATTTCGTGTACAATTATTAACCTTATTATTGAGTTTTACAAAAGTATTGTTTTTGATGAATCGGATGACGTATTACAAATAAATAAAACAATATGTAGAGAGGGGGTCAGAATTTGACTCACTGAAATCGACACGCACCGAATTAACGCCTTCGGTTTACATCGTACGCATCAATTTCCATAGCAAACCAATGATACATCAGTCACTTAAGTTCGCAACTGCATTATAAATGGATACCCCTCCGTCAAATCAGCTCAAGCAGTAGCATTATTAAGAGAAGGCCTCAGCCAGAGGGTCGTGGTAAATCGACTAAATTTAACGATTTCTTGTATCGAAATCCCTGAGAAATCAACATTTTACTGGTGCTAGTCTCAAAGAAGAGCTTAGAGAGGTCCGAGGTGTAGTTACCAGCGTTTGGACAGTCAGAAGGAGGCTGAAGGTAGCCAACCTGACACCAAAAAAGGGCACCTACTGGTCCCAAGCTAACTGCAGTCCAGAAGCAAATGCGATTGGAATTTGCTCGCGAACTTCTGGATTGGAACTACTACCAATGGGGTCAGGTATTATTCTTCGACGAAAGTATGATCTATCTATATGGCAACGACAAGAGGCGTTGAGTCTATAAAAGGCCAGGAGAGCGATTTGCTCAATGCTGTATAAGAGAAATTGTGTCATATTGAGGCGGTTCTTGGATATTTTAGGCAAGCATTTTCATGGATGGGAAAATTGAGTTGATTTATTTTTGATTCCTTTATTTTAATGCACGATGCCATACCGCACGGCACGAGTCATCACCACATATCTGACTGAGATCTGTGTATCTACGATAAATTGGCGTGCGTTGAGCACGGACATAAATACAATAGAGCATGTTTGGGATGAGCATAAATAAAGAGTTCGGGGCAGCAATCAAGCACCAAGGAGCATAATGGAGTTGAGACCTGTGCTTAATGATGATTGGGAAGTAATGCCTCAAAAATTTATTAGAAAAGTCATCCGATCCATGCGAAATTGAATAGAAAGTGTAATTAGGAGTAGTAGTGGTAATATCAAGTACTAAAAAATAATGAAATTCATTTTGTAATTGATGATTTCTCTGTACATAACGTCTTTCTTGCGTTAGTTCCAATGATGAATATTTAATAAACTCTGTTCGTTTTGCATATTGTTTATATAATGTATATTTCAATTGATGCAGAACTGATTAAAAAAGGAGGGCATGAACTTAGAACTAAAATACACCAATTAACGAAAGAAGCCTGGGAACAAGAAATAATGCCAAAAGAATGGAGTGGCTGTATTATCGTGCCAATACATAAAAAAGGCAGAAAGGATACATGTGGCAACTACAGGGAAATCTCATTAATCGGTACTACATATAAGATATTAGCTTCAGTTGTACTAAAACAATTACTGCCATATACAGACGAAATTATTGGCGATTACCAATGCGGCTTTAGGCCTGGAAGATCAACAATCGACCAAATATTTACTATCAGACAAATGCTAGAAAAGTATTGGGAGTATAATAAAGAAGTACACCAGATCTTCATAGATTTCAAACAAGCATATGATTCCATAGATCGCTTAAAACTGTGGAGTGCAATGATGGAGTTAGGCGTACCAAAGAATCTGACTATGATTGCGCGAATGTGTGTCAACAATTCCTTTGCACAAATTAGAATAGGAGGCAAAACTTCAAAGGCTTTCGGCATAAGCACCGGGCTCAGACAGGGAGACCCGTTGTCCCCATTACTATTTAACCTAGCATTGGAATACGCAATGCGAAAAATCTATACCAGAGTCAAACCAGACATAACTGCCAGAGGAGCAAAGATTATTCTCGCATTTGCAGATGATGTAGATGCAGTAGCACATACAACACTGGAAGTTAAGGATATAGTATCGAACTTTGAAGAAGCAACACTAAGCGTAGGCCTGAAAATAAACGAAGAAAAAACTAAATACATGGTGGTATCAAAAAAGGAACGACAGCGAATAAGACAAAACATTACCATAAACGATCATAATTTTGAGGTGGTCAAAGAATTCAAATACCTAGGACCAACAATTACCAGTGAAAACACAGGAGAACGGGAGGTTGAAATACGAATACTGGCGGGGAATAAATCATTCTTTGCCATTCAACATCTAATGAGGTCAAAGCTTCTCTCAAGGCGTGCCAAAATCCAAATGTACATAACCATAATACGACCAGCAGTGACATATGGAAGTGAAACATAGACATTGAGAAAGAAAGAAATCAATAAGCTATTAGTATGGGAACGCAAAATCCTGCGAATTATATATGGTCCTTGCAGGGACAGCATGACAAATGAATGGAGGAGCAGATACAACAATGAAATAGATACTCTCTTCGGGAAAGGAAACATCGTAAGATGTTTCCTTATGTATCGTAAGATACATAAAAGCCAATAGATTAAGATAGGCAGGCCACGTGGTACGGAGTGATGACGACAGACTGATTAGCAATGTGTTTTGGAAAAGACCAGATGGTAAAAGATCGACAGGAAGGCCTAGAAAAACGTGGAAAGACGCAGTCAGGGAAGACCTGGAGAAGATGGAAGTAAGGCCATGGGAAATAATAGCACAGGATCGGAATCAATGGAAGGCAATAGTAAACGCGGCAAAAACTCACGAAGAGTTGTAAAAGCCAATGATGATGATGATGATCTTTCAATTGATGCAAGCACAGTTTTTGCTCTATAATAAAGTTATTGTTTGCATATTACATCTTTTTATTTTTATACTTCTTACATTGAAACAGAAGGTGTAATCTCAAATATCGCTTTTGAGTCGATCTTTTTGCACTTAAGTGTAGTATAACTAAGTAAACTTGTGTAGTAAATTTAGTTTTTGAACTCTTATGATTTTCCCTATGATCATTTTTATAATATAAATCATGACAGCTGTGGCAAATATTTTAAATATTTAAATTTTTTTAGCTAAATTGGATTGAATTCTTCCAACACTACTTTGCAAACGCTGGTGTAGATATAACAGCAACCACAAGGGTGCTGAATTATTCGGGGTTGGAAAAACTTTTATATGGAATATTGAATATGGTAAAATTAACTGAAGATCATGTGATTAAAAGTTATGTAATGATGCGACTGTTTACACATTTGGCACTTGACAGTGATGCAGACTCAAGAGAATTCATAGAGAATTATTTTGCAGAAAAAAATGTTGAAATTTACTCTAGGTAAGAAAAACTATTTCATAATATAAATAATTTAAAATATTACTGAAAATCTACATTTGTCTATAGTCCATGTTGTGAGACCGCAATGTTCCTGATTCGGTTTCTTTATGGATTCTTATTCAAATCCCCCATCTCTCTTAAACAAATCTGAAGAATGCTGGCCGAAAGTTTTGGGCAGAAATCGTTTAAACATTTTTTTAAACAAATTCAAAAAATCACTTTTCGTCCCTGGAAAATATTTTTTAGGGTTTTCGTGTCATTTGAAACAAAAAAGATGTCATTTTTTCTGAAATTAACATTTTTCGAGTTTTCGAGTTTAAAATACGAAAAATGCGAAAATAAGCATTTTCGAGGAGTGAAAACTCATATATAAATTATCATTTTCATTATACACACTAATATCCAATGTTTGAAGATCTATGTTCATCAGCTAAGCGGGCTAAATATGCATTTTTATGGATGTTTCAGTAGACTCCGGTTGTGGCTACTACATTTTAAGTTCAGTTCGAAATTTGGGGAAATTTTTTTGGCAACAGTGGTACATAATATCAATGACCTCGACAAGTGTATATTTTGTCTTATTTGAATCGACAACAGTTACTTATTGCAGTCCGAAGAGTAGTTACCGTGCGCTTATCTCAATAGTTATGTCTAAGAGAAAAAATAAAGTGCTTTCAGCAAGGGAAACTCGAAATAATAGCTGAAAATTTAAGTAAATTTGAAGACGATGATGATTCTATCAATAATCCCTGGTATTCAGAGGGTTAAAATAATTTTGATGGACAAATATATAAAAAACGAAAACTCTCGGATCATAAAACGTCAAAATATTACGTGGTATGTCAGATACTACATATTTTTCTTATGACTGTTTTGTAAAATACACCCATATTTAAGTTAACGTAAATCAAATTAGAAATTTGGGCTGTGGGACTTCAAATTTGGAATCCGAAGTTCAGAGGTATGCTGACTTTGAAGTTTAAGAAAAAATTTAAATTAAACTTTGGACTTTTTTAGGTCAGTGGAAAGGCAGATTTGGATTCTGAAGAAGTCATTAACTAAATTACGCAGTCGACAAGAATTTTAGAGACACGTGTTGTATGGTATGATATTGTTGGTAATTTGTACGCTTTTCCGCTTCAGCAAAATAGTTCTTCAACTTTGAATGTTATATGTCGTCAAGATAATAGTCCACTTTTATTTTATAAACTTCTACTGACGGAAGATATACTTGATCTTTTGATAACCGAAACCAATAGTTATGCCGAACAACAATTTTTTAACGGTATCATCAATGAATCAGTGACAGGAAATAATTTTCTAACTAATTGGACGATACAAATAAGGAAGAAGTTAAAACATTCTTGGGCATACTTATATGAATGGGCCTAAATAAAAAACCAAGACTAAGAGACTATTGGAGTATAAATTTTGTTCATAAATGTTCCATTTATCAAAGTACACAGATGTCAATAGGTTTGACGCACTCTTGGCATCTCTTCATCTTTCAAATAATGAACTATATCCCGAAAATAACAGCCTTTTTAAGTTAAGTACATTAGTAGATATATGTAATAAAAATTTTTAAACCGTTTATACTCCAGAGGAGTACGTTTGCATCGACGAGGCAATGGTTCCATTTCGTGGAAGGTAATCATTTTTGCAGTATATACCGTGCAAACGACATTAATACGGGATAAAAACATTTAGGTTATGTGGACAACGAGGATATACATAAAAATCTACACTGAAAAGCAAAGTAGATCAATTGATCAGAGTGTTTCCAAGTTGTAATGGAATTGATACAACCTCTTCTTAAAAGTCGCAGAACATTAGTAGTTTAGTCCATTTACTCAACGATAATAATATTTATTTGATAGGGACACTCTGTAAACATAGAAAATATAATCTAAAAGTTATCTTTGAAAAAAAAACTATCAAGAGGGGACATATTAACTCTTGAAAGCAACACAAAAGCTATTGTTGGTAAATGGTTTGACAACGAGAAGTTGTTTTTTTAACAACCAAATCTTGTCAAGAACTGATTACGGTACACACGGACAGGTAACACAAGCAAACCAAAAACAATAGTGGAATATAATTCTGTTAAGTCTTACATCGATGTTTCGGATCAGAGATCAGCTTACAGTAACCCTTTCCGCAGATCAATCAAATGATATCGTAAAGTAGGTATTGAATTCCTTACCAGTACCGCTGTTGTAAACGCACTAATCCTTTTAATGCAACTTTGAATCCTAAAATGGACAACGACGTTCAGTGAAAAACTTGTTGCAGATATGTGCCTAAAACATGAACACGCAACAGTACTTGAGATGTCACATAAACTCGAAGAATATGACAAACGAGGACGTTGGTCAAACGCAACAAAGAATTCTAAGAAGTAATACCAGGTGTACAGATTGTCTTGAGAAAAAGTTTATGTGTTCAATTTGTTTTCTTTAAGATACATTATGTTACCCTAAAATAGTTGTTTGCTTCATTTAAACAATAATGTGTAATATTTTTAATAAAAACATAATAAAAACCTGTGTATCAATTTTAATACACCTAGGCTATTTGGTTTGTAATCAGTATTTTCGTACCTTGTGAACCGTGTGTATCAAATTTGAACACCGCCTAAATATCCCTTAGAATAATAAATTATGGCAACATTTTCAGCCGCAACTACAAAAAAATGTATCTCGGGCTGAGTGACTTATTTTTGGAAATTGGCCCTGATAGTCAAAGTGTTAATATTCTGAAGAGCAATCGGAGCTTATTTCAATTTAGGCCGTTTTTACGTACTTCCGCGAAAAATTCCCAATAAACCTTAACATTTATTAAAATTTTGTAATATATTATTAACATAATTGATTTTGAAATTTATTGTGTACCTACTATTGTTACAAAAGTTTAATAAATGTCAATAGATGTTAAAAATTTTGCGCGTAACTACATAAAAAATATATAGATATAAGTGTGATAGAGATGCACCATATAGTGCGGCGCACTGACTTAAAAATCGAGTGGACGCGCATAATTAACAATTGAAAACAACGGTCTAAATTAAAATAAGCTCCAATTGCTCTTTAGAATTATGAAACTGGTTGTTTAAACTTCAATTTAAGTACTTCAATAATAATAATTTACATATGATTTTTCAAGCCTCAAACATGCGTAGTTTCGCATTTTCCAAATTTTAAATCGCTTATAATTCGAAAACTATCAATTTTAGCCCTTTCAGGTCTGAATTTTTATTTTTTAAATCAAGATATTTGACTACTAAACATCTTTATTTATTATACAAGGTACTCTAAATAAATATTTTAAAAAATCCTCCTCGTTCCCCTTAGCGTGGTGGTATTCTGCACGATCGTGATGTTCAGACGTTTCGTGAACGATCGTGACTGCGTCAGGTTTTTAATGCAAAATGGTACAAAACAAATATTTTTTATAGAAAACATATTTTTAATTAATATTTACAGTAGTAGGAACTTTTAAGTAATCACTTTAGATATTAAAGGTAAATCAAATTATAACAAAAAAATAATTATTTTCCTTTAAAAATAATAAAAACACTCAAAAAATTATTTTGAAACGTATCAACTTTGTACGATAGACTGCAAAAACAGTTTTGTTTTCTAGACAAACAAAGGTAAACTTCACATTTGGTACATAGTATATTAGATCTACTTTTGCAATCTTACATTCTGCGCCATCTTGGACTGTCTATTTCATCAAATGATGAAAGATGGTCATACCCTTCATTCCTTTTAACCACAGAAGGTATGTTCGGTCGACGAAAATTAGACATATTCGGGCGCAGGTTCTCATCTTGTTCATCAATATCAGTTCTTCTCTTATGTTCTGGGGCATTGAATAGACCATCTGCCACCTGCAGTGGAAATTCCAATAAGTCCAATATTTTATTTTTGATAAACGGGTGCTACCGTATCAATTGATTCTAATACGTACAACCGCCAAGCATTCGAAATTGAAAGGTCGAAAAAATGAAGGATGACTTTTGTCCATTTTTTTCGTTTCGATGAAGGTCCGGTAGTATTCTATGGACTGATCAAGAATATCTACACCTTTCATATTCTTATTATAGTTCGCGATTACTTTTGGACATTTAACGTCTGTAGATGGTGATTGACTTTTATCCCGTCGATTAATTTGACAAGAATCATCTCCAGAAGTGCAATTGGATGCTACTAGGACGGATTTGTTGTTCATACATTTTACAACAACAATATCATTGATAATGAACTGTTGACATTCAGCACGTTTGTTTTGCTATCTTGCTTAAAATCAATATTGTTTCTATCAAGAATTCGATTTATTATAATTAGCCAGTCCCATGAAGTTCCATTTCTATTAATTTTTCCAGTAAAGGTGAAGATGAAAAAAAAAAACGGTCGAAATGTACACAACTACCACGTGGAATAGACTTAGACAGATAAATAATGACAGCAGCTCCCACACCCAGAGATCTGTCTCCACAGTTTGTTTTAAGCGCCTTGGTAAACTTCGAAGTCAATCATCAAACCATCGTGAGTAGTGGTGACAAAAGCTTTAAACCCTTTGTTTTAATAACTTGTCTCACAAAATGGTATCATCTGTTCGTCTATCGAATAACAACCTTCCTAATCTGTTGCAAGCATTCTTTATTTGATCAAGTACAGGTTGCACTTGATGACCAGAGTGAATTCTGGTTTCTTATAGGAGCTTCATCACTTTCCATAACGTGAAAAGCCATACGAAGAACTTTAAAACGATCCCTAGAAATCTTGTCAGCAACTAAAGCCAATCACATTTCTGTCCGCCAGTACATGTGAATACGTGGGTATGGAATACACCCTATGATAAAATGAACTCCTACAATTTTTTTTAATTCTGTTGCATTGGTGTTTAGAACTGTTCTAGTTTTCTGCATATAATAATTATTTATACAAACTGAGGCATATGAAATCGTAGGCTTCCACGGCCAGAGTCAGAAT